ATATATTTATATAATATATAATTAACATGGATGTTTGGTGGCCCAACCGTGGACATAGAAAAAAATTGGCGGCCCATCGAAACTGCCCAAACATTTTCCATGGCCCATCCCAAATCACTCCGGCCCATAGCAGTTACTTTATGACCGGTCCCTAATACCTCGTACAAATTTGAATGCATGTGTAAATACATTGAGCGTGAAACACATGCTTAAACCAACTCAATAGCGATATTTTATCTTTACCTCTGAACAAAATTTTCATCATAAGGAAGCTTGAATTCCCAGCCAACATTCACACTCCTGGTAGCTACCTTTAATATAATTGAATTTTACAAGTACAATTTAAAACATGAGCAGCAGTGTTTGATCTAGTAAGTTCATTGGCTGAGTAAATTTCAAAAAATATGTTGTGTAAGTCGAGAAAAGCAAAGTTAAAGTCTGTGTAAATCAAAGGAAATCTCTATCACATATAAAGATACGACACGTTTAAGATTTTTCTTTGTGTTTTCCTCATGAATTATTAACGAGTTTTTGAATACTATTTCAAAAACTCATTTATAATTCATGAGGAAAACACAAAGAAAAATCATAAGCGTGTGGCTTTGTTGTTTTTCTATACCAGACACGGGGAAAATTCGAAAACAACAGGGATCTCCATCGACAACGGTAGCTGACTTTCGGAATTTCGGACAACTGTACACACCGACATTTGTCAGACCCAAACGAAATTGTTATAATCCATACTCCTGGCTACATTAAACTTCTTTTTACCTGCTGAATGAGATCGTTGACATCATTTTCTGTGAGCTACAAACAGGAAAAGATATTAAACTAAAACAATGACAATATTATTTGGGAGGTTCAACTGTATATTGAGGCGGCGTTCTTAGCTTAACTTGGGCACATGTCCCATCGCGTTATCGTAAAGTTATATCGGTTTATATGTAGCAGTGTTGTTACCAAGACCGGATTTTGGTGGAAATATGTAGTGGGGGAGGTAATAGAAACAAATTTAGGGGAGGTGCAGCGGTCTAGCTCACGATCCCCATGGAAAGTTAGGGCTTATACAATGGGCCAAAGTCAACGACGTGACTTGTACATGTAACTCGCGCACATGCATATGTATCAGTGTATTAATGAATTATGACTGTACAAGTTACAACGCATCCAATTTTGCCCTTCACTACAATTACTACAAAGTTTCTTTCAAAACATTGCATGAAAAGGGTACTTGACACAGAGATGAATACAGTAGCTATCACTGTTTCAATTTTACAGAAAAAGTTTTTACGAAGCGTACACCCTAAGCAACCAAATATGTCAAATTTTTACTTTGATCTATCATTGAAACTTTCCCGGGGGAAGTGCATGACTTTTCAGGGGAGGTGCAAAAACACGGTTATGTAGGTTGGCGCTTACCTTCACCATAGATATTATGTCGTTTCGTTGAATCGTACGCGATTGGGTAAATCTGTATAACTAAAAAAGATGAAATTTTGAAATGAGATATTTTAAATTTGGCCATCTCACGTCTTGCATAAATAGCGAGCTTAAGCATGCAGGACGGCAACACGGCGACGATGGCCAAAACAAATTCCTTCAAATAAATGATAGTAAAGAAAACTTGTCGTATATTATAATTCGTACGAATTTAATACAGTATACGAAGTTGAAAACATTGGCTTTATGTTTGGGAAGAGTTCTACTGAACCGAATTTTAAGTTGCACTTGTTACGGCTTCAAATGCAGGCGTTGTATAAACGACGTGAAAATCTGTGATTTGCCGCTGTAAACAGAACGACAACTACGTCTGAAACTCCCCCGGGGCTTTAATTATTTATTTCTTTTCATTGGCTCATTGTATTGGTTGCTGTCGTCGTCGTGTTGCCGTCCTACATGCTTAAGCTCCCTAATATGTATATTCAGGGTGCGATCATTCGCGTACTTACGTTCCGGAGGTACGGGTTGTTTTGCTGGTACCACATGATCATTCCAAGCCCAAAGTATTCAATACCGTAATTTAGTCGATATATGTGTAAGTCTGACATGTCTTGACATGAAACATGATTGGACTGATAGCACTTACTGTAAGGCATGTTGAAGACGATTGTTTGTATATGCAATAGGCAATTCCAGCTTTTAATTTATGCTGAAACATTTCATTAAAAACTGCCGAAACAACCGAAATATTTCAATATTTACAAGTATAAGCTATCACTCGGATCCGTCATTTTTATTTTTTCGGCATAATCAGCAATATGATACCTTACTTCCCACCCCCTGCACAAACTAAAAGCTGGAATTGCTTATTGCATGTGCTTCTTGTTATAACTAGGAGTTTGAATATACTTTTCAGACACCTGTACTTTTTGTATAAAGACTAAGTACACATTAAGCATTGAGTTTGTACTAGCGCAAGTACGCGGCAACAACCACTGGCGTACCAGTCAGGTACGACTAAAAATCTTGAATTATCGCACGCTGGTATATTGTTTTATGCGAAAGTGTTTTAACATTGTGTTAGACTGTCAAGGTTGACGCCCAAAATTTACAATGGTATAAACTACTTACAATGTAATCTCGAGCTCTACACAGAGTTTCTGAAGTTGAGCAACTGAAAGCACTCGTCTTTCCTTTTGGGTAAACTAGTTCACTAAATGAACCAGAATAAAATTAATATCAAAGTATGTTTAGATTAAGTACCTATGGTATAGTGTGGTATGGTATGGTATGGTGTGGTGTGGTGTGGTATGGTATGGTATGGTATGGTATGCTATGCTATGCTATGCTATGGTATGGTATTTTGTGCTATGGTATGGCTGCGTTTGGTATGGAATGGTGTGGTATGTTATGGTATAGTATGGCATGGTGTGGTCATGTGGTGTCCTATGGTAAGGTGTGGTATGGCAGATGAGGTATGGAATGGTATGCCATGCTCTGGTATGGTATAGTATGGTATGGTATGCTGTACTATGGTATGGTATGGTATGGTATGCTGTACTATGGTATGGTATGGTATGGTATGGTATATAATATGTCATGTTATGTTATGTTATGTTATGTTATGTCATGTCATGTTATGGTACTTGCCTCTTTACAACCCATGATCCCTGAACAAGCACAGCATGTTGTTGAATACATTTCAATACTGTCTGTTCATTCGCCGGAGGATGTAATACACTACAGATCTCTGAGAAACTCATCAACTTTGCTATACAATGAAAGAAAACTCAGGTGAGGTGAAGTAATATTTCAAATCTGAAAATATTTGAGAACTATTAGTTGCATTCCTCAACCAACATTTCGATTACCAAAAACCATCAACGATTAACTGTGGCACACCCCACCTACTTACTTATGGGTTAGGGTCAGGGGTGGGGTGAAAGTCGGGTTTTCACAAACAAAAAAGTGCACCGGCATGATGATATACTGTACATCATACAGTAGATTCATGGATGGGCGTATGATGTGTATCACATATGAAAGAAGAGAATGGGTTGCTATAACAGAACATTACAAAAGCATTCAAACTTACCGTGTATTAACAAAGTTTTGACTTGATCAATTATATCCAGTTTTCTTACATGAGCCATTGTCGTAAAGTTGCTGGGTTGTGGGCTTGATGCACTACAAGAAAGACATCAGAACGGGTGTTGGTGACGCGTTGTTATAGCATATGTCTGATTATAATTTGAGATTATAATTGAGAAGATTCTCAGTGAATCCAATTTTATTATTCAAATGATAACATGACAAATGTATATATAGAGTGCGGCTTGGAAAAAACAATGGACCATTCCCCCAATTAACCAAAATTTTGAACTCAACAAGTCTAGACAAAAATTTCATCACAGCTTGAAAGAGCATCACAAAATTAGTAATATTCCAAAGTTTCGTTGCAAAATGTTGTAAAATGCGGATATAGCCTTGCGAAGTTTGCTATTTTCAGTCATTTTAGATTACAAACAGGAAATGGTTACCATTTCTGTGCGTAATACAAAATGACTGAAAATTACAAACTTCGCAAGGCTATATTATCCGCATTTTACAACATTTCGCAACGAAACTTTGGAATATTACTAATTTTGTGATGCTACTTCAAGCTGTGATGAAATTTTTGTTTAGGCTAGTTAAGATCAAAAGTTTGGAAAAGTGGTAACCATATGACTGAAAATTGCAAATTTCGCAATGAAACTTTGGAATATTACTAATTTTGTGATGCTCTTTCATGCTATGATGGAATTTTGTCTAGACTTGTTGAGATCAAAATTTTGGTTAATTGGGGAATGGTCAATTGAGCCAAAACATTTTTGAGCAAAAATATTCGGTTATAAAACAGGAATGCGAGAATCACGCTTACTTATATTAACTACTAAGCTTAGACTATTTATCTTTACAACAATTGTGATATTATTAACTTCTTGTTAACCGAGCGCAAGGTCTTTACAGAGAAATATTGGACCGAGGTCTTTTTTTGTACAGACCGAGCCCGTAGGGGGATATTTGTACAAAAAGACCGAGGTCGGATATTTCTCTGTAAAGACCGAGCAAGCGAGGTTAATAAAAAAGTTTATTACATGGCATTTAATTTTATAGGCATTTATACTTGAAACAAACAAGAAATGCACGATTTGAAATGCATATTAGCAGCGTGGTACACATTTAGTCGAAGAAAACAAAAATTACCAATATATTCCTTCTTTTCCACTTAAAACCATTCGCAGATATCTTATTAATAACAAATTAAATTCTAATTTTCAAAATTTCAATAAGTTTTGCTGTTTTGCTTTAAAATGCATGCGTTTGACTAATGGACCGCCGGTCCATTACGGGAAAAAAATGGACCGCTGAAAGTGCTTCTCAGCCAATCACAGTCCGCCATTTCGCCGGAAGTGATGCTTGCCATGTAATAACCCACCCTGTCAACTTTCCCTGTGGGAGGAAACCGGAGCACCCGGAGAAAAGCCACGACTTTCGGCAGAGTGTTGCATGACTCTTTTCACATGAGTCCGAAGCGAGAATCAAACCCAGGAACTCATAGGTGAAAGACGCATGCTCTGACAACTGCGCCACTGAAGCCCCGGTGATTTATCCCGTACTTTTGTTTCACACAATTAGCCATTCTGAAGTTGATGAGTGGACTGGGGACGAGTGTTAAAAAGTGCCCAAATTAAGAAATGAACTAAACCACTAAAAAGACCACCTCAAAATTAGTAAGTATACAAAGTTTGAAGACGTTTACATGAATACCCTTCGAATAATAAGCTTTCGAAAATTATGAAATTACTGATTAAAAGATTGTTTTTGGGACGCGCGTCCCAAAAACAAAAATTGCAATACATTTCATAGTAAATATCAGATTTTCGAAAGTTTATTATTCGAAGGATATTCATGTAAACGTCTTTAAACTTTGTACACTTACTAATTTTGAGGTGGTCTTTTTAGTAATTTGGTTCATTTCTTAATTTGGGCACTTTTTAACACTCCTCCCCAGTCCACTCATCAACTTCGAAATGGCTAATGAATGGGTTTTCTTCCAAACATACAGTACCTTGACGTTTCTGCTGTAGAAGGCATTAATCTCTCCACGTAATTGCTATAAAACCAAAATATATTCATCAGACTGAGTATGGATTTCGCTATTCCGTAAACTGATATCGTGGTTGAATGTTTTATAATCGAAATTTTATATCGAAATTTTGTTGTAAATTTTATATTTTATATCGAAATTTTGTTGGCATTTCACTCGATTGAATAATATTATTATTGAAGGGTTATGTAGATGGAAATTATCAAGTGGAAATTTTTATACATTTATTACACCTAACCAGGAACAGCTGCGAAAAATTCAACTTCTTCAACTCATATTATATACACTGTATATATTACAGTTTTCAACAAACGACAAACCTCGACGACGGATCAAATTCCAATACTTCGGTATTCATTTCTTGACAAAACAGTAAATTTCGCTCGTCGACACTTTTGGCGTGCTGTGTAGTAGAAAAATTGAATATGTACTCCAGGAGTCCAGGGTTCCCAAGGGAAGTGCATGACTTTTCAGGGGAGGTGCAAAAATTCTCAGGGGAGGGGCAAAAGGATGTAAGGGGAGGTGCGCACCTCCCCACACACCCAGGGCTCGAAATAGCGGGCTGCCAATGGCCAAAAGCAGGCCAAATTTTAGAAATGGCAGGCAAAAACAAATTTGAATTGCCAATTCAAAAAAAAATGGCAGGTGAAATTATATAGATATATTTCGTTTCATTTGGTTACCACAAGGTGATTGCTAGATAGTATAATTCAAAATAAGGTTTCCGTTTTTATAACATAGAAAAAACTATCCTAACGCAAAACTAAACCCCAACCCTGATACTAACCCTAACCCTAACTTATTTTAAAAATTGATATAAAAACGGAAAGCTTATTTTGAAGTATACTATCTAGCAATTGCCGTTACCACAACTCAGATTCGAATGATTGAAGATGGATACCTCCAGACTTTCATGAAGAATGATGAACCGAAATCTAGCGGTGGTACTTCAAATGGCTTCCCCTGGCACATACAGTGTACTTATCGAAAATCAAAGGTCATTTCATAGGATTCTAGGCGGCCCCACCCACCAACCCGTAGACTGAGTGCCGGAGACCTGCCAAGACTCTGCGCAGTGAATATTTTTTTCTTCTATTTGTACCGAGACAAACAGCAGCATATTGAACCTACATTAATTCCAAAATAATTCACATCAGTCCACGGTTCTTCCGCCATCTGTTTCTGCATATGTTGGTAAGACAACAACCTCTGAGCCTTAGCATGATCAGTTTCCTTCTTTGCAAATCTGACCTAGAATTCAGAAATCCTTGTCAGTATATATACTGCACAGACATATTGTACAGAAACATTCTTTCACCACATACCAAGGCCGGATCTTGGTGGAAATAGTGGGGGAGGTGGAAAAAATTTAGGGGAGGTGCAGCAGTCCAGCTCACAACCCCCATGGAAAGTTAGGGCTTAGAATGTTACGGGTCAAAGTCAATGACGTGACGTATGCATGTAGTGTACATATATGTATCAGTGTATTAATGAATTATGACTGTACAACTCATCCAATTTTGCCATTCATTACATTACTATAAATTGTCTTTCCAAACATTGCATTAAAAGGGTACTTGACAAAGAGACGAATGGCTATCACAGGGCTCTTTCCATTTAATGGCCTGACCGGTCAGACCCGAATTCTTTTCTCTGTATCAATGGAAAGATCTTGTCTATATTTCTCAAATATCTAGCGAAAATGGACCTCATTCTAATGTTATATAAATTTTCCGGTCAGATAGGTTCGAAGCCCAAACGTTTTGTGTTCCATTCAACAATTTGACCGGTCTAGCCGTGTTAATGGAAAGCGCCCACAGTTTCAATTTTACAGAGAAACGTTCTTACGAAGTGTAGATCCTAAGCAACCAAAAAATGTCAAATTTTCACTTTGATCTATCATTGAAACTTTCCCAAGGCGAGGTGCATGATTCATCAGGGGAGGTGCAAAAATTCTCTGGGGAGGTGCAAAACAATCTCAGGGGAGGTGTGCACCTCCCCACACCTCCCCTCAAAATCTGGCCATGCCACATATCCTACCAATAATGCTGTGGGTTTTTCTTCATCCTCATCTTGCGAGTCACCTGGAAATATTGATTGGCATGTTTATTGTGTAGGGTTCAAGGCCGGATTTTCATTTTTTTTAAAAGAGGGTTGCAAAAAATTTTAGTGGCACCACTGAGCAAGCTTTGGCAGGTTTAGGCATTATGGTTAAAGACTTTCGCACAGAATAGGAGGGGTGAAGCGAAATTTTGGTGGGGTTGAACACTTTATAAGAGGGGTTAGAGAGATTCTAGGGGGTTAACCCCTCCCCCCCCAGTAAATCCGCCTATGGTAGGGTTGTGTCATGTGTGAAAGAAATTTAAGTGCTTTTAAAAGTTTACTAAATTTAGTATTGTATGTTTTGGCTTAAATACAAAAGTTTAAGTAATTTTGTTTCCTGCTGTCGCCTTTGTTGGTTGCCAAACTCGCTACTGTTTGGGCAACAGGATAGGTGCCCCCGGTGCCCCTGATTATCGAGTTTGAGTTCCACAGGTATGTGTATCTTTACAGAACCTATACGAACCTTCATCATTAGTATCTGGTTTTTTCTCCTTACTCCGATCCAAATATTCAAAACTTGGTCTTAATTGAATCACACCCTTGAGAGGCGTTAGATGGATTTCTCCTGAAATAAATAAACATCCAGTGAGCTCTATATTAATATCTGGAGTGAGAACTTCAGTCATTTGGCATATCAGAAAAGTGAAGCCAAGAAGGTCGAGCTAACAGGCGGACCTCAAAGAAGACACTCTTGGGCGGACCTCTACGAAGACAAAGATTTTTTATCCATCTGTGCAATCAAGGCCAAAAGTCAAGCTATAAATCCTAATTTGCATGGTGTCATTCACTCTAATTTACATAATTTGTCTTTTTTTCCCAAAAACGTACACTACCCAAATGATACCTTCTACCAACAGGACATTTGTAGACTTCTTAGCTTAAGGGGGCATTATACAGTAATTCCTCTTTAACCCATTGAGGCATTTCACCCTGATGTGACCTACCATATTATTTTACTCTGTCTAACGCCAGACAATTTTACTCATCAAGGCTCCAGGCGAGCCCTGGCACTTAATGGGTTAACTGGCCTATCTGTCCATGTGGTGTCTAGTTAACCCATTGAGTCCATTGCGCCCTGATGAGCCCTAGTTAAAGCTACGTTTACACGCTGCGATTTGTCCGGCCGATTTTGAAAAAAAATCAATGTCCCTTCTTCGACATTTAGCGATTTAAACGTTCAATTGAAGCTGTCCGCTCTCTCGTCTGTTCATGTTATAGTTTTCTGGGTGCGAAAAGTTTTCAACAACTTTACAACGGAAGAAAAATCGTTGAATCGTGAGAAAAATCTGTGATTTTGTTACAGATTTTTCTCCCAATTTTGTGAATCGCAAGGTGCTGACGCGAGTACTCACGACAGGTTATTTACATACAGCGAGCAAAATCGGCCCGACAAATCGCAGCGTGTAAACGTACCTTAAGACAATTGAGGAGGAAGTGCTACCTTTACATTGACATCAGTAATTTTGGATAGGGGAGATATTGGTCAATATAGCTTGTTGGGAAATCCACTCACCGATAAGTGAGAAACTCATTAAATGAAATCAATAAGTTTAGAAAACATTCTTGCCATTTCAGGACTATGTATTTTCAATTCTCACGGGATACTATGATCCGCCAGCTGGAATTGATCTTCGAGATGGACTTTATTATAACGCCTACTTCCCTGGGCAATCTATAGCAATGGCACCTGCATTATACACTAATATTTTTGAATATGAGGATGGTTAGTAAAACTCTGCACTTGTTTTTATGTTATATATACTCCATCACTGCCTTCTCGTGTAACCAAGAATCTTGTACCTTTGTATAGGAACTCCTGCTACAACGAGTCAGTTAGCTAAAGATGTCAGCACATTCTTGAGATGGGCTGCAGGTTAGTTGCCATATAAATACTTAAATTTTTAAGAAAAGCTTCAGATTGATAGGGATGCAACTACCTGATCATGAAAATTGCAAAGAGACAAGGAGAACATCCACGTTTTGAGTGAAGGCCCTTTGTCAGGGAAATCAGTAGCGGGGATGCACCGGAACTTGGTTCCGGCCGGTTAGTTCTGGCCGGAACCCAGATTTTTCAGAGTTCCGGTCAGGCCTTAAAATATCGGTCGGTCACGGACATTGTCCGACCCATTCGTGAAATTGTCCGACGTAGTGAGGAAGCCACCGGACATTCTGTCCGACATAAGTGAAACTGGGGTTTACTGTTTGTCCGACCCGAGTGTGTTGGTGTCCGACCGAACTGCAGCTTTGTCCAACGTAAATAACCAGCAATAAGACTCGCGTATACTGAATGGAAAATCAGAGGACTATTGAGTATTGCATAAAAAGTGAACTGGAAATGTTGTTTTAACGTAGCTAATCGAGTGCGGGGCGGAGACGTGCGAGCGAAATGGTGAAGTGGAAAACTGGCTTAAGTTGTCCAAGTCTTAATTACTGCTGTTCTTGCAAGCAAGTTAATTTTGACTTGGAAATAAGTATGAATGACACAAGTTATTTAATATCTTCACAACATTTACCGTTCAGAATTAATACATTGTGCTGATGTTCATTTGTGTCATTCAGACTTATTTCCAAGTCAAAACTGAAGGTCATCGGACATATGTCCGACCCAACCTCAACGTCATCGGACATTTTGTCAGACGGCCCTGTGAAAGATATTTTAAGGCCTGGAGTTCCGGTTCTGGCTGGAACTAACAACAAAAGCATGGCCGGAACCGGAACTCTGTCGTTTTCAGAGAGATAGAATATCAAACGTTTCTGTGTCTAACAAAAGTTCACAGTCAGAAGAAATTTGGACTACCCAAGGGAAATGTATACTATTAACACTTCATTATGATGTTTAACGTTTTTCAATCTTTTTATTCCAATATTTGCGAGCTCTCTCCTTGATGACTTGAATGGCTGCTTGTCTGGCAGCGGACAAAGTAATATATGACTTAATAATTCAGTTCCGGTTCCGGCCGGAACTTTTTTCTAGTTCCGGTCAGATCCGGTTTCCGGCCGGAACTTAAAATATTGGTTCCGGTGCACCCCTAATCAGTAGCGGGGGTTGGGAAAGTTTTTATATATAAGCTGAAGTGGTTTGTCTCTGAACTACCTGAACTATCATTTTCACTACATGGAACGTAAACACGTTTGTATAAGCTCGCTATTTTCATTAGTCATGTACTGGTTGAACGTCTCCTATTATTATACTACCTTCCTCATCACCCAAATGCCTCGTCTCTTCCAAGTAGTTAAGACACCATGTACCATGACAACTTATTATTAATTAAAGAATATGACCATACAAATTTTGTATAGAACTTACCAAATATTGAGTTGTAAATTTTTCATTTAGAACCCGATCATGATAACCGTAAGAGAATGGGTATAAAGGTAATTGCTACATTGCAGTATAGTATATATATGTAATCGAATTTCTCTAATATAGACAATGAGATACACAGTGTGTAGAAATTATCTGAACCACAATTCTTCCTCTGTCTGTCCCACATCTGTCTAATGCCAGATGATTCTACTCATTTTTATCACCCATTAGGCATTGTCAATCTTCTCAATACTGGTGCTTGCCTCGTGGTACTACAAGCGACATAAATGGAGTGTTTTGAAGAGTAGAAAACTAGCGTATTGGGCCACATCAAGATAATACAGCACAAGCAAGACTTTTGCAATGGTATTTATATCTGAGTGACTTACCTTGGTAACGATAATATCCGATATAATTTGTTGGTGGATGCTTTTTCAGAGTGTTGTTTATCTCGTGTGAGTATCAACACATGTTTGACAATGGATCATATAATTTTTATTATTTGTTAAAATGAAATAAATTTTTAGTCCACCATTGTGGATCTTTAAAAAATACAAAGAACAATTGGCTTGCTGTAATTTGTGGTAACCAAATTTGTTACATATTATGGCGATGGTTGTTATATGGCGGCATAAAAAGTTTGGATGTCACCATGCAAAAGTAGTGAAACACATACCGTTTGGTCTTTGAAAATTAGGCTACTGCCTACGGGGTACAGCCAAAACAAGGGTTTTTAGTATGGTTTTTTATGGTCTGAACATAAAGAATGTACTCATATTTTTGGTGTAAAGCTTCATTGCATTATTTAGTATGTATGTACATGTAATTGTGCCACAAATTTGTACAGGAACATTCATCACATGTTTGATAAGGTGACATCAAGATCTAATACATACACTACAATTCATATCCTTTCATACAAAGCATTAGTCTGAGTAAAAAATAAATAAATTCACAAAGAATAGATTGAAAACATATAGTATATTTAGGCGGTTGCTCAATAGGTTTTTTAAAATGTTGTGTCTTGTGTGGTCATGTACAGCTTGGAGCAGCAAGCAAGTCTTGCATCGGTTACATGTACAGGAAGGAAAACCTTAAATGAAAAAGATCAAATGAATACACGTCAGGTAGCTTTGAATGCATTTGATTGCTGACCACAGTACTTTTACAATTCCAAGGTAGGAATGTTTCTTGATATACTTGGAAACAGATTGACTCAATAATTACCTGCTAAGCAGCTGAGGAAGACTCGCTATGATTGGTCCATATCCTGGGGAGTTATCAAATAATTCAAACAGTGGAGCGGCAACCAACTTATAGTTTCTTGGCACGGCAAAGTTTGCTATAGT